AGTGCGTCACTGTAATGGATGGTGTTACATTTGAATTCAATGATATAATATCATTGTATAAGAAAAACGATTCTGAGCGAAAACGGTCAGTCAGCCCATGATATTACGAAGTATAATATTTGATGATATTAAGGTGAATAAAGTAATTTATACATAACCTATTTACGTGGAATATTGTTTTAAATTTTAAATCCTTAGCTATAAAAGTTGAACATATTATAAATTTTTAACTACAAAATTATTATTAAATTTTGTCAAAATTTGAACTTTAAATGCTTATAAAAAAAATTGTGCCTATGTATATTTAATATTTTTCAACTGTTATTGTAACAAAATATCAGGAGCTTTGCATTAATTTTTCACCCTTTTTTACCCAACAAATAAGATTTTATTGATATTTATAAAAAAAAAACTAAAAAAAATGTCCGTAAACAGCTCAAAAAAAGTCAAAATATTTGGAATATGATTTACACTTTTTTTGAACAAAAATTTACTATGTTGTACACGTTCGGGCGTGACGTCTTCTTAAAACACTCGAAAGGTATCAAGTAAATCAAAAATAATATAAATCCTTACCTCGTAGTATTGCGTCTGTTTACACGACGGAGCTTGGTGACTTTTCTTGATCCAACAACCACCACCCACTGTGACTGGTTTTAGTTTTAGGTGACCGAATTTTATTTAAAGTCATCATAGATTGCCTGTGACTTTGGATTTGTCAGTATTATTGATGGTAATGGTATGGTAGTAAATGACTTTCATAACATGTGTCATACTATTCATATTTTGTATCATAAGATACATTTTTTAACGTCAGTTGTACAATGTTCACCCAAGTAATTAAAAACACAAACATTGTGAGTGATATTTTTATTAAATCTTATTTTGTTTACTCAATTAATGAAATGGACTCCGATAATTTATTTCCATCATACTAAAGATATTTTTTCTTAAAACCATAGATTTCAATAATGTGCCTTGCAAAGGCAACCGGAACCTCTTTGCTGGGGGCTAGTGAATAATACATATTTATTCCGGTAAGATAATATATAATGGGTATTAAATCATGAAATATTAAACTTACTACTCGGGTCGGCGATTTTCTCGGTATATCGTTTTCAATACAAATGTTGAAAAACAAATAATATAATATAATATTTTCTTGTTTTAATACCATTTTTTTTTCCATCCGATTATTGTGGAAAATTCAAATAGGAATATGTTTTTATAACGTCTTTTTTAATGGGTAAGGTATAGGTTTATATATAATGTATAGTTTATAGAATAATTAACATACAATGCATAGAATTTTTAATACACATACAAATTAAAATTCCAAACGTATTAAGTATAATATATAAATTATACAATATCGTACATAATACTATGTATTTAGACATTTAGTATTACCAACCGCATTTATTTACAATAAATTGCAGTTTTTGCATAACAGTAGACCGATGGCTTTGTAAAATAAAACAAGTACATTTCAATTTTACCGTTTATTTATAATGAGCACATGTCCGTATTTACAAAGGTCGAGAATAATAATAGTGAGTATATAGCTTAAGAAACAAAATAGTATGGTTTTCTTTAATAACTATTATAATAATATAATATGGTAACATCAAAGTGGCACAAAAGATTATACAAACATGGCTTTATACATTTAAAAAAGGTATAGGTTTAGAAAGTCTGATGAAAATAATAACTTAGGAAGATAATAGTAGTAATTATAATAATTTTTTTATATTTTAATATTGTATAATATAAACAAATTGTATTAATCTTATAATTATTGCAAACACAATGAGAGGTAAGCGAATACACGTTGAATTTTACCGATAGTTATGTAACCTTATTATAAGCACTTAATATTTTTTTTTACAAAATCCAAGGATGTTTTAAAATTATTTTAGATTTATTTGATACAGTCATAAAAGTCGAGTAATACACCAGGAAATCGAAAATATATTATTGGTACATATTTCATAATATTATATACGAGTATATAATGTAGTACAAATGTATAATGCAGTATTTATAATAGGTATATAAATATTTTAAAATACTAGTCAGAAAATGTATTTGGTTTTTAATTAGACTCGAACAGATACACTATTGGATTCAAAAAAAAAAAAACCCGAAATTTATTTTTTTTTTAAATTTATTATTTGATGCAATATACTAATACATTTACGGACAATATTAAAACCATTTTTCTACGTTGTTAGTAAATATTTGAATTTCGCAATCAACCAACACAACCTTTTGGTTCGGGGATTTTATGCATTATTATTTTTTTCCTCAATGACTTGAAATAATAAATATAATATTTAAACATAGGTAACAATTATTAACAACAAATTCATAGTATTCAATAGATTAATAAACGTATGAATGAATTATTCAGTCATTTTGAGTCTCTTGACTTTTAGGTTATAAGAATACACGAGATCATGCAATTATACAGTTATAATAATGACCCAATTAGAGATTATGGGATTTATTTTTCATGTATTCTATTGAGACTAACCAAAAATTAAATTAAAATAATCAATCTTTTGAGAAAATTTAATTAAATATAGGATCGATGTAACAATGGTGATCGTCGTTTTTTTTATGCTATCAGTAAATAATTATATAATTTTTTTCCAAGAGTTATTATTAAAAACGTAATTATTATTTTTGATTTAAAATAATTATTCACATTGCGTAACAAAGTTACTCTAAACGCCTTATAGACGGTTTTTGAATAACAATCATTTACAAAACAGACATGCTATTTAGAATATTTTGTATCAAAATATACTTTATTATATAAATATACGACGGGGGCTTTACAATATTTTACATTCTTGGCAAGTTTGTGTTGTTGCTCGAGGTTAGATAATATATACTTTGGCATGTCTATCAATATTCAAACGGACTTATCCTCCAAAGCCTGGAAAAATATCCCCTACTAAATAAATGGTAAGAACTAAATATTATCCGTATACACGCTGTACCTACAGCATAGTTAACCTATTACGAGAGGCAGCATTCTCTCACCGCTTCTCGTGTAAGGAATACCATAATAATATTATCGTTAACGTCATACTTTACCACGTACTTAATAACAAGAGAATTAAAAATATAAAATTATATTAAAACCAAACTTAACATTAAAATTCAAAATTGTCACACCGCAAGGTCCTGGAGAAGACTTGCCAATTTTTATAAACGTCATAAAAGTTTAATTAGATTTTGTCTTTGAAACGGGCAATAATAGTAATAACTTAGGTTTTTACATTTCACCGTAACGTTTAACGATAGGACGTTTCAGATCAGAGTGCCTATAGCCTGTATTTATCATAAATTCATTTTTATTGCCGTAATAAAACTATATTTATAGTATTAGAAAATCAAATGACTTATACGATATTGTAATACATTATTTTGGAAATAGTGATATCTGTTAATGGGTATTGGGTATAAATATAGATCGACAAGACTTTGATTACCTACATTTTCATGTTTGACACTGGCGACTGGCGAGCAGCTCCTAATTTGAGTTATTTGAAATTTTGATTAGACTGTACATAATACATCGTGTATATTTCACCATCGGTTCACGCACTCTTTTAAATTGTTACCAAGCACTAAAAAATACGAGCACTATAAAATACAAGTATTTTTTCATATTCCCATAAGCGTATGATAATTTTATCGACAAACCCTGTTCGAACGAAGCGAAGATTAAATCGATACGATTTATCTCAGGTGGCATTTTTATTTTATCGTGACAATTTCTGCACGGCGGCGGTAAGTCGTTTATGGAACGGTCAATAATTTTGTCGGAATAAATGAACGCGGTCCTTCAGTAAAGTGGCGTGAGTTGACAGGGACGACCATTATGATTGTCCAATGCACCCACACCCACATCAACAGTAATATTATACCACCCCGACGATCGTCCGCTATACAGGTCACGAGTCGCATCTTTAAAGATTAGCATAGGTGGGTGCCTGACCAGCTATAGTCCGAAGGCACTTCACTGTACGCTTGCTGATAATATTATCATAATATTACAGGGCTATCACGAAGTCGACTTTTCTACACTGTTTTCTGAAACGCCCTGTATAAACACGCGTGTGCGCGTATGTGCGGGCCGTGTAGGTAAAGGTAAATAATTACAAACGGGGAAAAATATAAACCATAACAATTCGGCGAGAGCGGTGAGGGGTGGAGCGGGGTAGACGTGCACGTCAAGTCGGATTCCTGAGGTTTGACGGTATGCGAAGCATACCGCGTAAGGGGTTTATTTAAAACAGTATTCCGAACTGACACACACGTGCGTACCACGACAAACATCGGCAAATAGGTACCTACAGTGAGATGACGATGACGATGACGGTAATAATAATAATAATAATAATAATAATAATTTAGTTACAGTAAAAGGTGGTTGCCAACGAGTGTATTATAATAATATGTTATCGTATCGCTGTAAACGGTGCTCGGCAGACGGACGGCTGTTACGGTATTAGGTATCGAATGCAGTATAGGAATAGTTATCATAACAGAGTTTGGGGTATGGAGGGTGGTAACGATAAACTCGCTCGGTCGACATCACACACGATAGATAATAATTACAATATTATACGGACATACATTCGACGATCACTATCATTCAACCCGGACGCGTTCACTGATGACCTGCTTGCAGAGTTGATCTTAAAAACGATTTATACTGTTTATTATATATACAAGATGATGGCTGACAAGAACGAAACGAAACGGAGCGTACCATACGATGCCATGCTTGTCCGTCTCGTCCGGTATAGACCACAGTTCGGGTCGACGCAAAATATGTTTACCCAACGATCGCGGTTCATACCAAACCCGACCGGGGTCAGGTGGTTTGGTCGGGTTCAGACGGTCGTCTCGACTCGAAGGCGTTCGTCGCCGCCGCCGCCGTCTTCGCCGTCCACGTCGACGCTGCCGTCGCCGTCGTTTCGTCAACACATGCTGTCCTGCTTGCACTCCAGGTACAGGTCGTCCGAAGACGACGGGTACCGCTTGCCCAGCGAGTTGCCGACGACGCCGCCGCCGCCGTTTTGTTCCAGGAACCGCTTGTCGTAGTGCGTCCGGTCGACCGAGCACATCATCGGGTCAACGGCGGCCGATCCCTTTTGGGACGCCCGCCGCCGGCCGTCCTCGGCTCGCCGCGACCTGTTGGCCTTGCAACGCAGGCACACCACCGCCGCCACGACGGTGACCGTGAACAGCACCACCGCCGTGCCACCCAGTACGCCCACGTACATCAGGTTCATGCCGTTCCGACTCGCGCAGTTGGCCGGGTCCTCGTCGAAGCCCATCGGGCAGTGCGTCTCACCGTCGCACCAGAACTGCGAGCTGATGCACGCGTTCAGTTCCGGGCACCTGTGAACACACACAACGCGTCACCCAACTGTTAATATTTTATAGGTCTCAAGTCTGGTTCGCTGTACCTGTCATAGTTTTCAATGATTGGCTATACCCAATCATATTAGATAAATTTATTATAAATAATAATATAGCGTTTACTCATAATTATCGTATACAAAAACACGATTTTTCACCTTCAAATTTAACTCTATCTCCTAATTGGATACATAGTTTAAATAAAGGTTCCAGGAAACCGATTACCAAATAAAAATATAAAATCAGCAACAAATATATTTTTAATAAATTAAAAGTAGATGTATAATTTACTTATTCTTAATTATTCTTAAAATCAAAATCAATTGTAAAATAAATTACTGTTTTAAATAAAAATATTAAATATAATAATTTATGTTCAATTTTTTATAGGAATCTGGTAGGTACCTAAATCACTCTCTGAAAACTTGACTATTATAAGATTTAAAATGATGACAATATTAATAATTAATATGACGTAATCACACTGATAAACAACGAAATATGTCAAATGAGTACCTATAGTGTAAATGATTTGTATATTATAATATTTAGTTAGAAGCATACATATTATTAATAAAATGGGAATTTACGTTTTTCATATTTTGAAGGTCTGCAGTAAAAGGAAAATTTGAAATTAAATATTTATATATAGCTCAATTTATTTGATTTGCTTTATATGTACGATAAAAATAAACGCGAGAGTGTTTTTGTGGTTATCTTATTTTTTTTCTAACACCGAAGAATTTTGAAATTCTTGTCAACTTGATGGAAAAATATATATACTCTTGGAATTTTTCGCATTCGTTCTGTGTAAAAATGGTGTTATCGTCGTTTGAGAGCTGTACAAATATTTAGTTCTTTCCGCACCGGATTATCCGAATTGTTGTCCGAACAGTTCGATTTTATTACAAATTGTATATATTTTATATACATTATCGAGTTCATAAACAGCTATCTATATGTGTATAGGCATATAACGGAGAATATAAGAAGTTTGAATTTGCTGCGAATACACTTTACTGACATAAAAAATATGTATAATATTGTATATAACTACGATGGAGATTTACTCTTCAATTACTAAAGTTTAATGAGGAAACGGAAAGAAAAAAAAATGGATTTATATCTGACATCGACTAAAGTTCATTAAAACGGGTTATCCGATGTCAAGAATAAAAATGTACTATAGTCACTACTCACTATAATATACCGTCAAGTTAGTGGAATTATATAACAATATTTTTGTTTTATTTAAATAAATTATGATAGGTACAACAATATATACAATATTTTATAATGTTTTCAAAAAGTAAGTTATTTATAGCCAGACATAATAATTTATTATTGTTTTAATCAATATACAAATACCCTCTTGTTTGAATTTAATTAAAATCAAATTTTTATGTAATTTTTGGTATCTATACCTAAATTTTGATAATAATTTAAATCCTTCACGGCGGAATTCGAAATAGTTTATTAATTCGTAAACATTTTATACGTATACTTAAATGTGAATTGAAGGCATTTTATTTTTTCTACTTATATATTATCATTATTGCTATACTCCGGAATTATAATAATAATTATTACAGAAATGATAAAAAAGTGAAAATTAATTTATTTCTGAATACATAATTTATGAAAATTTTATATTCATTGCTCCTGCCCATTATTCTTTCTTCGATTTTTTTTACGTTCTTTTTAATAAATCATTAAGTACATTTTGTTATACTTTAGCTAAACTTTTTTTTTGCAGCTTTGTTCCAAATTATGGTTACAGCTTAAATTAAATTATAATGGTCACCAATAACTATTTACATAAAGTAGATTTTTTGATAACTTTTATAATTTAGCATTATTCAGCATTTTTTTCTTGCATATTTTATTTTTTTACCGAAGAAAAATTAAGAAACAGTGTCAGTTGATTTTTTATTTGATTTCAAGTTCATATTCCTTCATAACTATCCTTTATTTAAATTTTCTTGTGATACTTTGGTTACTTATAGCAAAAATATTCATAAATGTATACATATATTATAATTTTTATATAAGGATCCGTTTTTATCCAGTAAATACTACAATTATTATTTTTATAGAATAACCACTAAAATTATATTCTTTTAAGTTTTATAAGTTTATCAAGACAAATAAAAATTTTAATACCTAGTATATCTACTGTATGACTATAATATGATATATTTATTTGAAGAATTTTATTGAACTTCCAGTGAAAGGTCTACGATTGGTATTTACTAATTAAACATAATTATATTTTTATACCATAATAAGTTATGTTAGAATATCAAAACACGTGATTTCTGTTAAAATTAAAAAAATTGTTTCATAGGTGGACAAACTACAATTTTATTAATCGTTAAAAATATAAAATTAGTAGGTAAAAAATCATACAAAGTTAATATTTTTCATATAATAATTAGTAAATTATTATTAATCATTCCTTGAAAACATATTGTGATTTTAAGAGTTATTAAACAGAATATTTTAAAACGCATATTTTTTTTGATTTTCATATCATGCTGTAAGTGTTAGATAAGACACAGTAAATGAAAGATACTGAGTTGGAATATTGAAACTTCTGAACTACCTTCTTAAGAAAAAAATGTTAGGACCTAATGGACCTATAATGTGCAAGTTTTGAAACATTTTATAATTCACAATATTGTTACAAACCAAAAAAGATAGGCACTATATTCTATTTAAATTATCAATAAACAATGACAATAATAATAAATATAGTATGTTCAAAATATATCTATACTTAATTTTTAATTGGGAAACTAAAAACAAAAGTTTTTGTTAGAATTGGGATAGTTTTAGTAAGTTCGAAAATTAATCATCATAATATATGTACATTGTACATGTTGTGGGTATTGTGTTGGTCGCAGAGAGTCATTATATACTAAATTGGATATAGAACATGCATAATTTAAACACGTACCTTTTAATTAAAGTTTTACTCAATAAGAATCCACTCAATTAGAAAAATATAATTAGTAAAATAATAATTAAAATAGCAAGTAGGTGGTAGGTAAATCTTATTTTTGCCTATTTATCTGTTTTTATTTTTTTATATTTATCTAAATAAGTATGAAAATGAAATATTATAATGTTAATTCACTATTGCAGAGGCACAGTGTAGATGATCGATTGCATTCTAGAGAGAAAATACGGTTGTAGGTTTTATAAAATAGTAACATGAAACAGTGGGTTTTATTGAATTTTTGTCGACTTGAGCACTACCGTACTGTATTGATTCATTTAATAATGGTCGAGTATATCATATCGAAACTATTTAATTTTATTGAAATGGCGATGACACATTGTAATTTACAGTGTAATCAATAGGTATGTGAAACGGTTTATTTACAACCATTTATTATGATTGTTTTAGCGGAATGTTAAAAAAACAAGTGCCACAATACAAAAAAGAAGTTATCGCATTATTTTAGGAGTCGTACACATTGCCGTTAAAGTTATTTTTAATGGAAACAAATCGACCGTGACAATGTTTTCAGATTGTACAATATAGTTAGTATTAGGTATAATCAATACATATCAACTCCAAAAATATTTTGATACGAATATTGTATACTTGAACAACGTACTAGGTAGATTTATGAATGAATAATCAAGATAACGACCCGGTACACTATTTATATTTATGAGCGATGTTTTATTTCATTGTTGTATTTTTATCGTAAAAGTATATTTTGTTTGTTTTAAAATGTGTTAAATTATTTTTAAAAAGGGGTTTTCATTTTTTATTTTTTATATAGAAATTGTTAGTCGACTTTAGGAAGATAAAATATGTGACTATAACTATTATTCTCAGAAAATTGGTTCTGCTATCTCTAAAAAACCATGTGCACAACTTTTTTCGGTAAAAAACCCGGGTGAAAACGTTTCATCTTCAGTAGGTAAACAAATTAATATAGGTACTTATGTGTAGGTATATGTAGTATAAAAGTTTACATGATTACATTTTGGAAGGAGATAAAGTGTAATGAGAGTGTATAAAGTTAATAAACAAATATATAATTCAAAGGTTAAAAGTAACTTAAAATGAGGATAGTGGAAAATTTAATTTTAATGACTTGGAATCGTAAGTACTTACAGACATAATTATTATAAATAAGTTAGATAAAAGTCACAAGTTAACCCCTTATACTTTATTTTTTTTCCACGAGATGATTATATTTCGTTGAACATGATAGTATTACTGAAATTGCTTTAAATAATATAAACTTACAACATTAAGGTCACAGCTCTTTTTTTTTTTTATTTTTATTTTTTTATAAATTATACTTGGAATACTTTTATGCATAGTAATATTGTAAAGCAAAAAAAAATTCTATTACGGCGTTTCATTTGCATAATCGCATTATTATTACACAATAAATTCACATCTAATCCGAGTGATGGGCGGTGTAGTGGGGAATAGTAATTAATTTTAAACCTAACACAACACGCGTATACTATAGGTATACATATTATTATATTGTGTACGTACAGAGGGCTTTATTAGTATCTGTTAATATATACTTTTTTAATCGATTACCGTGTGCACAAATCGATGCCAACCGCAACAATATTATAATGCCAATACATTACAGTAATCAATCGAAATGCTCGGGAAACGTGGTTATTCCTTATATTATGTGTTTATGTAATATTATGGCATTTGGAGGGTTCCTAGAAGAAACATGTAAACGGTTACCCCTCTGTAAGTTCTTACACGAAAAAAAGGCAGCCGTTACTACCCAGAAATAAGATGAAATGCACAACTTAGTGCACGTACTGGACGTGTAAAAGTGTATACCTCTTCGTCATTATATTACAATAAAATTTAGAACATTAAAACGTAATTTCAACTCGTACAGACTCGTCTTGTTGTTTTATATTGTATTAAATTAACAATATAATATATAAATTTGATTAAAAATGTTCGATGTGGCACAAAAAGAATAGAATGTTGACCACACCAAGTCCATGTCCTACTTCGTGTCAATTCCAAATGCGAATTAAGTGTGGAGGAGAGAACAGTTCTTATACGCGTGATAATAAAAAAAAAAGCGACTGACCTGTAAGCGCATTCTGGGTGGACGTTCGACGACATGGCGTACACGTTGGTGGACGGCATGATGCGCGGCATCTTGGACACCTCCATCCAAGTGACGGCGTACGCGCCGTACTCGCGGTTCAGGAACTCGACGGCCACCGTCTTCGAGTTGGGCTGCAGCTGTTGGGCGCCGGTCAGCGGTTCGGCCCAGCCGGGCGAGAACGCCTCGTACGAGCCTCGGAGCGCGTTGTAGCTGGCCCCCGTGTCGTACGGGCAAATGACCCGGGCGGTTTTGGGCCCGTCACCCGCCCCTGTGTACACCACCACCCGGTTCCTTGTCGGGCACATGAACGAGTTGGTGCGCCACCGCTGGATCTCGTAGCCGCGCAACTTCATGTACACGAAGCCGCCGGTGCGCAACATGCTGCTGTCGGCCGTGGCCGGACCGATGAGCCACGGGAAGTCAGCGCAAGCGCCCGCTGGCCGACGCCGGCCGCCCGCCGACGGCACGCCGATCAGGTCGATGAAGCCGCCCGGGCCGCGGAGGTGCCGGTGCTCGCGGGCTTCTCGGCATGCGTTCCTGTCGGCAAGCGACGCCTTGACGAACGCGTACTCGGCCGAGAACCCAAAGTCCCGGTGGTCCTGCGTCACGTTCATGTCGCGGACGGCGAACTCGACGCGGACGGCCGCGCCGGGATACGATTCGAACGTGAACGGCTCACGTAGCCCCGAGCACGCGCACCCCACCGGAAGCTCGATGTCCGGCCACGGGTAGTGCGTGATCGTAACCCGGGCCTGAGTCCCGTCGTCCCTGGACCCGCCGACGCCGTCCGAGCCCGCGTCCGCACCGCTGCCGCCTCCGTACACGCACCGCGACCGGTCCGTCCGGGCGTCCGTCTCCGTCGCGCACGCCGTGCTGGCCGAGTGAATCCGGGACACGGTCACCCGGACCCGTTCTTCCGGCGACCCGGGCACGAACCGGAACACGCACGTCAGGTTCCGGCGGCCGCCCCGCCCGTAGAAGAACACGTTCTTCGGCGACCCGAAGTACCCGGAACCGGAGGCGAACGTCCGGCTGCACGCCGCCGGGCCCACGTCCCCGGGCCCCTGCCGCCGCTCCGCCGACTGGTCCACGAACTCGTACCGCAACAGGAACTGGAGCGGGAACAGTACCGAGCCCTGCTTCAGGTAGATCTCCACCGTCAGCTCGTCGGCCGATGACGTGTACGACTCCGCGGCCGCGCACGGCCGCACGTGCCTGGTGTCGTTGCCAAGTAACGCGTGGTCGCAGAGCCGCGGTAGGTCTTGTTCCTTGCAGAACTCGCCCATGAGTACCGGCTCGGACTGTTGGAAAAAAAAAAATCGAAACCAAGTATTATTACATTAATAAGCAACTCGATAAGTAAAAGTAAATAAAACAATTTATAAAAAATAACCGAGAGCAAGAAATATTCATATTAGGATCGAACGAAATGGTTTTTTTTTCTATCGAGATACGAGATAAATCCTGCTGACACAAGAATTCGATAAATAATACTCTTATACGTTTTTATTACGATTTATTGTTCGTTCGAAGTCGCAATGATGACTTAATTGTGGCGTGATTAAAACAGCCGCCGATGTCGTTGGCATACAATTATAAGTCCGAGAATTTCTAGCTGTCGTTGAATATTAAACAGATAAATCATTTGCATGCCTACACATCTCCTAGTAAGTTGTGATATGTTATCGTCATCGTAACATCAAAACATTATGATATTCGTTCACCGTTATAACAACGTTGGATTTATTTCGACGGTCACCCACTCGCATATGTATCAAAATTGCCTATGCAACGCGCCGGCCAACTCACACATTAACACAATGTACCTACTACCTACACACAATTTTATCAACTTATATAATCTATACTATATAAGGAAGTCCAGATTTTGTGTCACAGGTTGGCTCCGAAACGGCTTCACCGATTTGGCTGATTCTTTTTTTGCTACGTTAGTAATTGTCAGGACCAGCATGTTATGAAAGAAAATTTTAGAAAAATCTACTAGAAAAGTAGGAAATCTGGATGTCAAAAATACAATAGCGGCGAAATCTGTACAGGAAAAAAGTAAGCTAAATAAAAATATATTTTGGTTTATTGCAAGGTTGCTATTGGTTTTGATTGTTGTAGTTTTAGTAGTTAATTTTGAAGAATTTTATTAAAATAAAAAGAGGAAATTAAACTTTGGCCGCTCCACAAACGGTGTTAAAAGGAAGCGCTTATCTAGGAACAATATAGGTAGTTGAAGATGAAATTAATATCATGTATGAGAATTAAGTAAAAACAGAAAACTTGGTATAACTTTGATAGGTATATTTTAGAGTAATTATACACTTACGTACAAACGTCTATAACATGCATAAGCACTAATGATGCAAAATTGGTATATCATTTGCACAAAATTAATATTTTATAAAAATATTTATTTAAAAATGTCAATTTTATAAAAAATTGTCAATAAATATAATAGAAATTAATAAATTATAATTTTAATAAATCTGTTGATTTTTTCGATCTTATAAAAAATTGTCAATAATAAATTGTTAAAATATAATATACAGCTCTAAATGTAATATCTATTAAGCGTGGCACACAGGTATCTAGGATTTTTGTGCTTTCGTACGATACGATTTTGGCGCTTTTGTACTATACAACTTTTAACTGTTTTGCACTACTCTGCATACGCCATACAGTTCAATTACTCTTCATAAAAAAAATAAAAGTTGAAAGATATATAGACAGGATTTGTGGAGCCATGAAAAAGCCCTACAATTTGAAAAAAACTATCCACGGGGGCGGAGCTAGTGACAACTAGTAATTATTATAATTTTGCATATTATATAAAATAACGGTTTAGTATAATGACTAATTTTTAAACAACTCCATTAATGTTGATTGTTATTTTTATATTTATAATTATATAATATAACAACATGCTGTATCTACACACGCTTTAAATAAAAATAATGATTTTATTGTTATTCGTTCAGTTGACAATCGATTTTGTCATCATATTTTAGTTTATGTGCTTTTGAAATATTAATATTTATTTTTGAAATATCCCACAGTGTAAAATCGATATTATTATTGTTATTAGTATACCTACCTACATTGTTCGATCGTTTTAGGTTTCTATATACGATGTATATGGAAATATAAAGAATATCTTTTATGTGCCCATCCACCAATCGTGACATGGTTAACAATTCCATTGTTGATTTTATAAAAAAAATGTGGTCTACACTCAAAGAGGTACCAATGTTTTTAATGTATTGTTTTATTGTCATTAAATTAATTAAATTATGTATTGTTGTTATTCCATGTGCCCATTATTATAGGTGTATTTAAATTAACAGCGACTAGCAAGTATTTATCAATGGTCCTTTGGATATGTTTTTCGTTGAATAATATTGTTTATTGTATCGAGTATGTTATTTCCTAAGCGAAATTTAGGGGGGGGGGGGTTAGTCGAGGAATGAAATTATAAATTATTTTTAATTAAAAAACTTGAATTTCAAATGTCTTATTATTTAATGTCTAATTATTATTCATCGTAACATTATTAAAGGAATAGAAGAATAGAATGTTCGATAATTGGGTTTTATTTTAAATGTGCATATTATAATATATTTATATGGTTTATCATTTCGTATTTACAGATTTCCAACTACAGTATTGTTATTGTATCATTGAAATTATTATAGTAAAGTTTGAATTAAATTACCATATTATATTCAGCCAAAATGATAATATAGGTATCTGGGGTTATTATATTGTAATTAGTATCACAGCGCACCAATGTGTCTTCAATAGAAAATTTAAGTCATTAGCACGATGCTGGTATATGCTTACAAAACGCGCCAATTTAATAAAAGAGTTGAAAAGTTACTCAGAAGCATTGCAAATCGAACTGTATAACCGGTAGTTTCCTCCGCATACCATGCGTATACCTGCGCATATATTAAAAAGTTATTTATTATTGATTAAATTTGTTTATAGGTAAACGATAACAGATATGCATGGTTGCAAAATCAAGGTACCTACCTACGCGAATATTTAACATAATTTCATAACTTTTATATTAAAAAACCTTATCGGTTATGATACTGTGATACAATATTGTACAAGTGATGAAGTAGTGAAATAATTATTTTATTAAAATATGATGTGTTGGTAGCGAAATTAGGTGCACCTACAAGCCTTGTACACGGTAAAATATATTTTACAAACCGACCCTTGTTCGAGGTAACTGAATAAAATATTATGCAGTATCATGTCCTACGTCCAAGAACGAATACTAAATGAATATATTCGACATTTTAAGCATATAATAAAGCATAAATTCAGGCAACTCCATGGGGATACCAATAAAGGCTAATCTAAAAAGAAACTTATGTTGTTAAGCGTTAAAGTACCATTATTATAAACAGATTTTCTTTTGTGCGTGTTATACCATAAAAAATGTCGTAAACGTTTTTTTTTTACTCATTCCAACCGAGTTCTATAAAATGGAACCGTATATTAATACTAACATAACTTTATTTAGGATTTAATGTAACACGGGACATTAATGTGTTTTTCATTGAAAATAATATTTAACTGTACAACACTACAATGTGAAACCAAATTAATAGCCATACAAGTAGTAAGTACCCACCGAATGTGGTTCGAGTGTAGTTTGAGCACAGATAGCTGTAACAAAATTAGGTGGGTACTTAAATTAACCAACCGATACGCACGTATAATATGATCAACAAACAAAACCTAAAATTATTATTTTTATATTAAAATGTTCAGTATTTATCATCATAGAACGATATTGGAACTACTAGTATTGACGAGGAATATAAGAAGTTTTGTTTCATCGTCCGATTTAAACTACACGTGTATGGATTATAAGTTATTGCTAAAAATTCCCCACCCCCTTCCATTCAGGGACGGGTATGGGCGGTTAAATTATTTACAGTGATATACGTCATCGCGATGGTCTGACCTTTTTGGTTTTTGTCGATACAACTTTGTCCCAAATGCGGAGTCTGGCGTTACATTCGTTGCTCAGGTGATAGGCGTTTGGATCAGTGCTGGCGGCATGGTACTTGATGAAAGACAGCCAGACCGTCTGATGACTGGAACCCTGAAAGTGGTATTTGCAAGACGTGTTTGGTGGCAACGAGTGCCTGGGGCTGTCCAACAGGCCCCAGTTGGTGTTGTTGAACGGTTTGATGAAGAACTCACACTGGCTGGTGTTCTTGGCATAGCTGGGAGATTTGTTGTCTACAAACAGTATCTGAAAGGTCACGTAAACAGGAATCTTGTCAAAATTATATACATAGGTGAATTAAAGAGCCGGAGTTGTATATGCATAAAAAACAATGTGTCAAATCAAACTAATAGAATAAGACGCGAGGAAATTAAGTGTAATATAATACGATATAATATTAAACTATTGATTTTTTTTAAATAAATTCATCAGTATATAATTTTTTGACCAGATATACCCAATATAGGAAATTATAGTAATTCAATTTGTTGGTAGTTTTTGTTTTTAACAATGAAATATATTATTATAATTTAAGTATAATATATATTATGTATTAATAAAAACGTATTGTTTTTTGGTTTTGTATTTAATATTAAATAATATGAAACACGCAGAGCTTTTAGAGCGAAAATCATTTAATAAAAACAATTATTTGTGACAGTGTCACACGAGATAACTTTTTTCTCGTAAAAATCATATTATATAGGTAGTTTATCATTTATCGACATCACGTTTTCATCGTAAACTAGTATAAGAATTCATGACCGACGATATTAAAAACTCAATTTCTTGATAAAAGAATATAAGTACCTAATGTGAAATGTGATACATACGTTGTCGTAGCAAAGATAATATTTATTACTACCTATATAATAACGATATATTAATATAACAAATAATATATATTACATGTACTACTATAATTACCTCCACGTCCAATTCAAATCCTGGCAAGTAGCTGAGCGGCACCGGATGGAACGGGTTGTCGAACGCGGAAGTGTGGAATTCCAACAGCATATTGGGCCCGGAACTGACGATATCCGGTACCGCGTCACCGCCGCACAGTCTCACCAGTACTGGGTCCGTGGCCAACGATCCGTCGTACACAGTCAAATAGTCTTGAATCACGTTGCACTGGTCCCAAACCCTGCAGCAAAGGAGATCGCACAATCCAATAAGAACCATTTGGATTGGTCGTATGTACGGGGTGATTTTTTTAAGCACACTCACCCCAATTTTCCCCTTTAGCAGTACGTCATATTTTATTCGAACTATGTTTTTTAGAATTTTTAAGTTAAGTACCTAAAGGCCATAATATTTTAAAATTCCTGATATTTTTTGTACTATTTACTTAAGGAGTCTCCTGCGTAGATACGAAACTCTATTTTTCAAATGAGAACCACCGTTTTTTACTGAAAATTATTTATCGAATGATTTTCTAAAAAATGTTGATAAATCTAAATCAAAATTCTAATCGGTTGTTTCTGAGTTATTAAAATGTTTATACTTACTGATGATATGGTGACATGTAAAATGGTTTTACAAAAATATAATCTTTATGTAATATTAGGTGTAGTATATATTATACTAGCATAAATTATCGGATAAATCATTTATATTAATACATCGAAATTAATTACTAACATTTTAAAATATTTACTTAAGCAACTTTCATAGACATATATAATATTATCCTTGGTATACAAAGTTATGAAGCTTAAAAACTACTCGTTCGAATTATGATTTAGAAACACGAGAATTCTAAAAAAAAAATAATTAAATACAAGTTATTTAAACTTATATATTTTGTGATAAGCTATCTAGGTACACAGAAAATGCATACTAAGGATATTTGATAAATTACATATACACAGCGTAGAAATAGTGACACTACGATTTCATTACTTACTATAGGTATTCAGTGGTTATTCACGTACTGTATTTGTGTGGAGGACAACCTGAATTAAAAATATGATCGTCAGGTATTGCCCGCTCCCGGATTATGGTAATTGTCGTGCGATGGTAGTGGACTGTAATAGGTAGGTAAATAGAAAAATGGATGACGGAAAACTACAGCGAGAGAAATAACAATAACGTTGTTGTTGTATGAAAATTATCACGGAATATGACGAATATATTAAAACGTTGCTAACAGGTGAAGATGCTTACAAACTATGTTAGTAGTAGGTGGGGGCCAACCACAAGCGGTCGCCAATACAGAGGGACAAAAAAGAAACAAATAATAAATGTACAAAAAAATTGATATAAATCATAATACCACGTCGGGTAACGGAAGAACATAAACAAATGAAATCAGCTGTGTACGACCTGATAGCGACGATACAGTCGGACTGCAATAGCCGCTGATAGCGGGTATTGACAAGTGACAACTGATGGTGCTACCGTTGTCCCGGCACGACGATAATGGGCAGCTGGAAGTTGACCGGGTTGCAGCGACACACCACAACGTCGACTTGGACGAACAAACAGTCGACGAACGGGAAGGCTCGTAACCACGTGACGAACACGGCGGATCGCACATTCGCACTGCGGACACACCGCGCGGACGATAACGGCAACTTAAGACACAATGTGGTTTTGGCACGGGCGGCTACAAAACGCGATTTGTGTGTGCAACGAGGGGCACGACACGGAACAGAAAGCACAGACAGCTAGGGCGCTTGGACAAGCCAAGATGGCGTGCGTTATTGAACGACGACGGCACGCCAGTTCGCGTAGGTAACAATAATACGATGATTGCCAAGACGGCTGAGAAAAAACGGCAGGAACGGTGACTTCGCGACAAGAGGCACTGCGTCGGACTGCATGCAGCGGGGATGAGACCGTCGGCGACACACCGATAACACCTCTCTCTCCGGAGATATCGGAACGGTCGCACGGTGTCCAAAGTAATAGCGATAACGCGGGGCAAAGTCCAAGACCGGGCATACGCACCGAACAGTATTATAGGATGTCAATACGACAATACATCATGTTATTTTTAGTCTGTGTCAGAGATTGCCTGGGAGGTTTGGTATGTGCAAATGTTTCAAGATTGGGTTGTTATATAATTGAAAGTGAAAATGTGGGTGTTTGTCTTTGAAAAACAGAAGTTTATACAGTCGTAGGATTATCCTCAAGTGGTAAGAAAAATCTCAAGTATTCAGAAATATGGTGTTCAAGTGTATTAAATAGTTCCAAAAATCAAAACTTGTATTTAACGTATGCATAATTTAAGCATAAAAAGGGCGAGAATGCTTAAAAATCACCCTGTGGCCTGTATAGTAAGCAATTCATGCACACACACACAAGTGAGTGCGTATTGATGAATATATTATTATTATTGTCCTAATAATGGAGTCACCCTGTAACGCCGCGATGTCTTGTCAAAACGCGTTGATTAACGCGAAACGACAAACGTTAATTTATTACGCCATTGTCGCGATCCACGCGGGACCCACGACAACAACAACAATAATAATAGTTTATGATGGGTTATGTATAATAATAATAATGATAATATGCTGTTGGCCGATTTCTGTTGTTATCTAATTTATTTTTTCATCCTAATCGATATAAGGGGTGTGAGAGTAGAGAGTGCGCGTCGATTCTCGCGCAGCTCGTTATTGTATTATTATTTCCATCGCGCCCATCGTCGTTATTGTTGTTATTAAAACTTCGAATTTCGAAAAACAAACTTTATTAATATTCGTCACAACGTGCCAATAATATCGATATTTTAATAATACATCATAATCAACTAAATAGTTCGAAACTTTCAAGTGGACGCCGTTTTATTTTGTTACCGTCGTCGTTGTCCCACCAAAACTGAGTGCGTCTTAAAATAATTTAAATTTTAAACGAAAATTACAATCTTTAAAGTGTTACTATTACCAAATATTCCAATGATAGTGACGAGCAGAAAAACACTTCTATAATACCACATCATGGATATTTAAGTACGCCGTTCCTTGCAGTAAAAAAAAATACAAATAACCCATAACACATACAATAATGGTTGTATATCATTGTGAGGTCCACGTATTTATTACGTACCTTCCTATAACTTATAATGAAAAATAAAAAGCTCCGCGAATATAAATCGTAATAATAGCCATTATATCTATACACTCAATCTTAAAACAAGTATTAAACTTTTATCTTGTCAAGCGAACATTTTGATAACATTGTCTTGTGATAACTTTTTTTAAATTTTAAAACTCTGTTGCGTTAAGTACATTTGTATTAAGTTAAATACAGTATATTATATATTATATATTATGTACATATTTTAATAAAATTACAAGTTTTTGTTTACGTTATATTATTAGTTCACTGTGTCTCTGGTCACGCGTATATATATATATATATATATAATATATATAATATATCGGTGTCACAAAAATTATATTTTTTAAAAATTGTTGAAGTTATGACTTATGTACGTAACTTATTGTCCCTGGGAGGTACTATAACAGCTCGCACATAAAATATGACCATTATAAATCGTTTTTAAAATATAACTAAATAAAGCAATAAGTTAACAGACTAAAAACTTTGTTTTCGATATCTTATGTTTTCTGTCTTTCATGTCTGATAAATAAAGATACACGTGTAAGCAATACATTTATCAAATAAACAATTGATAGGTTTTTTGTTGTTTGACATTTTATTCATGATAAATTCTCATTGTTTTTTTTTATATTAAAGCAAAATTCAATTTTTTTTACATTTTACTATAAATATTATAATCTGTAGAACAGTAGGATTTTTAAACAACATAATATTATATATATATATATATATATCATCATAATATTTTACGAAACGTTTGTACGATTTTCCGTGGAAAAATCCTTAACGAGAAATACACACAATGAAAACCTTCAGGAAATACAAAGCACATTTTGTATTTAATGATTCTTTTTTCTACACACAAAGTGATTTAAACGTCCCAGGCGTCAGATTAATGCTTATTCGAACAGTTTAGTTATCCTAGGGAAAAATGTATTAGAAAGTGGTAAAAGTCGTGTTTGGACACATTTTTATTGAAACACATTTGCAAAGTTTTCACCGTCCAGAGAGAAAGAAAAATTATACTTCCGAGAAATCTTTGGCCATCGACGTGATTTATGATATAATCGCCTTATTCGTTTTAATGCGAGAATCTTTGTATTCGCTCGTTCCCTCGGCAGTCATTAAGGGGCCTCGTCGGTTAACAATAACGTTCAGTGCAGTGTTCATAAATAATGCCGACCGAGTTGTTTACCTTTCTTGTTAAGTAGTTCGTATATGCTAATTAAACGTTTACAAAAAATTAACAATAACGATAAAAACGGCGTTATGAATCAATAAACTGTACGTTCGACTGACGTCAATAACGTTTGACAATAGGTACGTTGTTATTATGATTAAGAGCGTAAATCCAATTTGGAAAAAAAATAGTGAATATGTCAGGATAAATTCATGTAAATAGGCAAATATGCGTAACATGAAGTATTTTTTTTTTTTTTTATAATTATTAAAGCGATATATTATGTATTATTAAATTGCGTTTTAATTGTTCTAAAAAAATTTCAAACGTAAATAATGTCGGTGAATTGTAAACAAGCTACACACAATGATTATTGTTTAATACCAAAACGATTGTTGTTTTATACGTCATATGATTATACCTACTTTTAAATTAAATATCGCAATCATCTGTTGTAATAACGCATTGCATAGTATTATTTTTTTTAGAAAACAATAAACATGCAGTTACGTAAATTTGAAATCCTTATAAGTCAGAGCAATAATATATTTTAGACTTGGAGTGAACAGTGGGGTCATAGATAACTCAGAATAACATGTTTTATCTGGAAGCATTCATAAAAATATCATGGACTGACTTTTAATTTTTAAAAATTGGAAATGATTAAGGACAGTAATTTATTAGTCATTTTAGAACTTCTCATGCAGCTTTTGAAAAATGATTGACCCGGAAAACGATGACAAAGCAAATAGCGATAAGTGAAGTCTCGACCAAATGTACCAATGTAGTTCAACAGCTATACATATGGTTATCGAAACCATAAACACATTATAGGATCGAATTGAAAAAATAATAATTGGTGGAAAATTTGAAATTTCAAGTCAGTGTTTGTAGTGATGACGAGTAGACAGTGGTCTTGCGTAATCACATGTTTACGGAAGGATGAGAGACGAGAGAGGTTTCTCCGTTGAGTTCGTTGAGTTCGTCTAGTTCGTCGTCAACGTCATCATCGTTGACCGGAAGTACGGCGTTCAACCTGTCGGCCAACGTTTTAATGGTTACCAGGTGGTCAGCCAGAGCCTTGTCCACCAGCCCGGCCATTCGGTCGTCGAATCGGTTTTGGGTCAGTGTTCTCACCACCGTCACCGGCCATGGCGTCTCATGGTCTGAACCCTCGCGCACTTGACAGAGCGTCCGCCGCGACTCGTGTTGGTCGACGAACTCGTGGTGGTCGACGAACTCGTAACCGGACAGGTCCCTGCGGCATACCAAGTACTTGTCGTCGGTCACTGGTTCTCCGGACTCGGAGCCCAGGCAAAACTGTACGGCTGGCCTGGTCGTCGTCATCCGGACTTTGGCACCGTCCGACAGGTACGTCACGCACACAAAGTGATCGGCTTGCCCGAAGTCAGCGGACGTCCACGTGCCGTCAGGCGAGATAACTGTGGCCACGTCGTCAAAAAACTCAAACACCGGCCGACCATCTGGCCACACATATCGTTGGCTGTGGTCGTCCGCGAGGCTGTCCGCGTTCCGCGGGGTCAAGTCGAAATCGCCGTCGGGCAGCCTGGTCACCGTGACCACGGTACCGTCGGTCAGGCCGACGGTCAGCTCGGTATGCCGTTCACCACTGCTTGCCGTCACCACGCTGTGAATGGTCACCCAAAACTCGCCACATTCCACTTTCATCCGGTACCGCTGGTCGCACACTGACACCGAACTTCCGCTGTCGTCATCGCGCAGTTCGTACACTTCAGCCCGAATTTTGGTATCGCCGGTAACCGACACATAGTGTACCGCGTAGTCTGAAGCGTCGACGTAACCGAATGCCCGGTACCGGAATACGTTCGGATCGGTCATCGCTAACGGACGGTCAGCATCGTAGTTACCACTATAACACCAGAAAGAGGAACCACCGTGATACAATGACAATATATTATTATGATGACGGTCTGCACGGTAACTTCGAGCTTATATCTTTTACTGTCACAAACCTCTTAAAGTCTATCGTCCGAAACGCCTCGTTATGGAACTCTTTGAAATTTCTGGGCCCCGCAAACCTGTGCGCTTGACTCTGCTCAACGAAACGCCCGCGTCCGCCGTCCGTGAATCTAAACACCAGCGTGTCAGTGAGCGCAAAGTATCGGACTTCGTAGCCGAAGTGTGTCGACGCGTAGTCCACCAGCCTTTGGGGCAAAATGTGTGGTTCCAAGTGTTCCACGTGACTCCGAACTATGAAGCTTTTTCCAGCGACGGCCTCGTGGTCGTCGACGTCATCTCCTGCGGCCATCAAGTCCTGCAGGTGATCTACTGCTAAAAACCGTTCGCAGCGTTGCCGGATTTCCGGCCGGAATAATGACGGACCGACTGCCGTCGAGGACCCGTCCACGTATGATGCGCCGCCGACCGTCCACCGCCAACGTCTGGTGGCTATGAACTTGGCGTTCAGGCACATATCAAAATGTTCGGCCGACAACTCCGCTAGTTCCGGGTCGGCGACGGCCCTGAGGTTTTCGATCAAGCACGCGGCCAGTGTGCGTTCTGTGTGCGTTGGAGTGATTTCGGCGTGTTTGTGCCAAAACGTGGACGCAAAAGACTTGGCCACCCGGGTTGTCCGTTGTGTGTAATCGACGGCTGCCGCAGCGGAACAGTCAAAGCGGGACGATACCAATCGAGCTGCGTCTTCGGCTGCTCTGTCGCCTTCTTCGACCACACCGGACGCCAACGTCCACCGGCCGTCGTCCGTAGCCGCAGGGTCTGCACACGCCGCGCCGCACAGTTGTTCCAAGATGGCGTCCAGAACGGGTTCGACAGCCTGGACACCTTTGCCGAAAGTGTTCATGATGGACGCGTACACGCTGTCCACGTCGCCGGCGGCCGCCGAAGGTATGTCGCGCAGGCCGTGGGCGTACCGCCGGTAATCGTAGCACAGGTCGTTAACGAATTGCACCACATGACTGATTATGTCCAGGTCGTCGTCGTTGTCGTCGATACCGGCTGAGCAGTTCCACCCAGACATGGTGATGCCGTCGTCCGACCAGAACGAGTCAGACCAGTCACTGCCGTCCTCGATGTCCACGGACGAGAATATCACGTTCACGGGCAACCCTCGTTCCCGGTACAACCATCTGGCCAACGCTGGGTCCCGGTAACCGGTCAGCACTAACCGGACGCCATGGCCGTGGTGTCCTGACAGCCGGAATTCCCGGTCCACGGCGTCCACTATCGATTGAGGACCCGTCCGATAATCGAACACTTTCACGGCACGTCCGTCGCCGGCATTCTGATTTCTGTACCGCTCGATCGCCTCGTCTGACGGCCAAATCACGTCGTCACCGTTGTTAAAGAACATCAAAACGCTCATGGTGCGTACCGCGGTATGGTATATGGTAAAGTATTAGATCGGGTTAGGTATATAATATTATAAACTACGTTTGTCAACTGCTCACGGTCATCGGATCTCAGGATAGTCCACAACAAACGCGCGATGTTGATTATCGTCGTCCGGCAACGACTCCCCACTCTATGCGTCTTAAAAAAAAAAAAAAAAAAACGATACTGTATTTCGATTTTATATTACACCCGCGCTACATCATAATGAATTATACTGCGATGGTCTCATAATGGTATGCGACGAATATCTACACGACTGCTGAAATATTGTAGGCGGCTGAGTAAACGACCGTCAGAACACCATTAACCCATTCAGGCTCAAAGATAACTTTTGGGATTATATTATGTTTAAAAATAATACAAGGTATCAACAATATATTCCACAATTCTCGATGATAGGTCCATATACTGATTTTATCGTCGGTAATAATGTATGCTTTTATATATAAAAATGTGATTTTATTTTTCTTATAAGCCAGTTACCTCCTCATAATAGCATAATACAGAACAATTCTGAATTCATAGATTGTTAAAAGTAGGTATAAAGTATTGATATGTATATATTTTTTGACGATACTTCGTGCTCGAATATCTGCAGTGCATGACCTCGAGGAGTCTTTTGATAAATCATGACGACAAATGATCTTGAGCATTACATTAAAGTAGGTAACGAAACACCTGCCCAACAGTCTCCATATTATACATAATGTCGTCCATATTGTAATAGTATAAAAAAAAAACAAAAACAAAAGGATCATATCCTAGCCTGACCGGAAACCGGACATTTTCTTCTAGCCCAGACCACAATAATGGACCGCCATTATTCGGCGTTGCTTTATGCCAACACACTTTTGCTATTTCATAATGTTTTTGGACGTTACACGTGTAGATTTGTCTTTGTTAATTTGCACGCTCCATTTCGTTTCTCAGGTTTGCTCGACTTGGTCAGCGCGCGTTTTCGGAGGGTAATCGACCGAAATGTTTATTTGTTGTTTGTGGGATATCGGCCGGAATCATTTACGTAGGTTCGTCGCCAACGTGACGAAATGGCGTTTTTCCGACGCCTTCCAAAGGATTTATTATATCTATCGAACGGAAGTGAAAAACAAAATAATAACACTAGACACGACGATGCAATGTATCAGAGGGCGGGACCGTTCGGGCGAGCGGACGACTGTAAATGATTTTTATTTTTCTTAGATCCCGTTCAATTGGCATGCCGCGTTATTTGTTCGGGAAACAATGCGAGATTTAAATGTGACTTTTACATTATTATAGAGACCGGGAATAATGGAACTTGCTCTTGAACAACAATCGAGAAACGTTCCATTAAAAATACATTAGCCTAATTTATTAAGTTCACTCGACTCTTATTCATTGTTTGACTTTTTGGCCAGCCAAAATGGTATATTACTTATATATCGAGCTAATATGGTGGTTCTTATGTAATAAATAAATGTGTCTGCGCGTATTACAGAATTGTATTAAAATACATCGGAGTGAGATATTTTTCAAACGTGTATTTTAAAGTGTTGTTGTTGGTTGGTTTTGTTTTGCAAAGTGAAGCAGAGTGTATACGGTATAGGTACCTTTATAGTTCAAAATTAATATAGTAATACTATACTATATTATATAATATATAATAATTATACTTAAGTAGAAATATAAAAGAAAGTCCATCTATATGTTTGTTTGGGGTAATTTTCGAAACTACTAGCTCGATATCGAAAAACAAATAACATCGATAAAACGGGTCTCGATATCCTAATAAACATATGGGGAAATAAGACCGACCAAACTTCTGGTCCCTGAAACTAAGTGGAGAGAGAGGAATACACTCGTAGTACCAACTGTCCGGTTTTTACTGCGAATTTTTCTTAAAGTCTGTGATGAATGTTGTATACGTCTATATTTTGTTTGTTTACTACAGAGTTAAGCAATACGTCAATATGACTTGTATTATAATATACATACAGTAAAACTTACATAATATTACAAAGTCTCAGTAAAAAAATCATATTATAGATCAGGAATTCGTTAAATATAATTAAATGAATGTCGTGCTTATTTGGTTTGTTTCTTAAAAATAGAAAATTTTGTGAAATGGAAGTTTCTTGTTATATTATGGATGTTTCGGTGTCACATATTATACTACACTGTCTACACTCCTATTAAAAGCTCAATCAAAACTGCAGTGTATCATATTTTAATATTTTTTACGACTCCTTTCTGTACCCATGCGTGTTCGGAGCTCGAATAAAACCGTTTTCAACGAACGGTTTCGTAAACATACATAATATAGATTCACAAACATACCTGAGTGTACGTTGACTTCGGTCGTAGTTTATGACTTGGTCTTTAATATGAATTTTGTGGGCATTTGGCTGTCTGACCACTATCAGGGCACGCTTAGACTTCGGGGCCGTTCTCTGTTCTATCCTATAATAGCAAGTGACGTTTCTGGGATAAGCTCCCGGGAAATTGGGCGACTGGACTCTGCACAGTTTACGGTCGCACTGATCGAGTATTCTGTCGCAATAGCTTCCTGTTATCATCTGTCCTCTCCACGTCTGGAAGGTACTATTTCCGTACCGGAGGTGTGCGTCGCTCTTTTTCAAATATTTGTACGATAATTTGAAATCGAAATTGTAACCGATGCCCTGTAGACATAACATTATAATATTTCAATGACGTATTATTGTATTTAACGTAGTACAACTCTAATGTATACATCATGATATTAGGGCGATTTATATCTCGGTCCGACTAAATATTATTATAGCGGGGTTCGCTTTGGATCACGGAGAGAATAAATCTCACCCGAGTGTTTTCACGACACACGCCTATATATTATATATATATATAATGTATGTGTGTGTGCAATGTAATATAGTTTTCACTAATACGCTGTCTATAACACGAAGTTATGTTTCTGTTTTTCGTAAAAAAAAAAAGTTTTTAATTTGATTCCGCACGACTTCCGTATTGTTAAATGATTTATAAGGGTTCTTACCTGTTCGGAGAGTTTGGATAGTGTGAGAGTCAGATTTATCGACCGGGTTTCGCTGTAGTAAACTGTGAAGCCCCATGCACTACCACACCACTGACCGCCGGTGTCTGGCAATTGAGACTCTCTGATGGACATGTACCCGTCAGGACATCCGTCCAACGTGTACGAAACGAATCTTCCCACGGTGAACGTGTCAAACGTCAACTGAAATATTATTAATATATAGTTTATAATTGGGTGTTTTATATAATAATATTATACGTAAATGGGTTGAAATCGTGAGACCGTAACGCGTGTGACACTATTTACCTATATATATAATATTTATTGTTTCTAATATTATTGTGCATCTAGAGTTCCGGTATTTGCTGCATTATTATTAATCATATTTTATCGACATTGTTATACCTATTACCTATGTATTATGTTTTTGAATAAGTAAAGCATAGTCGACATATAATATTAATTACTCGACGAAATCGGTACCCATATTATGCGGCTGTAGACTGTCCCGGTTCGTTTCATAATATTGTTAATTTACCTACATTAATGTTTCAAAAATTAATTTAGATTTTAGACTAATCGCTAAAGATTCGCTAAACAGTATATAAATATTCAATCGAATCCGGTCGTTATATTATTATCTCAGTCGCGATAAAATTAAATAGGCAATATTTTGGAAACAAGCGTAATTTAATTTGACATAATTACAGCCATAAAATTAAATTAAACTGAATCCTAAGTTTAGGAAAACTGAAAATATATATAATGTATTCAGTTTAATTGGAATTTAATACTCAAAATCGTTTGCTTTTTATGGCAACATTATTCCTATAAAAAGCAAACCATCAGACAGTATATTATATTATATATGTATAGATATACTATTATATTATATACTGCACATAGTAAATTAATGTCGGTTTCAAGTTTTTTTTTATTCGTGGAAACGGTTATTTGCATTACGAATTTGTCTGATTGAGCAACCGAGTGACAAACGGGACTGGGTAATCACAGCAGCTAGGCGCTAGGTAATAATATTTTGGAACATTGGTAATACAAATACAAATACAAATACAAAATTGAATTAACATCCGTAGCTTTGGTAATAATAAATTCGGTTATGAACCTTCAATAAGAGCAGTAGTATATAAGGCTGTTCTATCTGTTTGTCTGGATTTACATAAATCCATAAAATCATTGGTTATGTTCATCATGTTTTCCCGTACAAGTGGTACAGCCATCAATAATTCCTATTTATGTATAAGGTAATATTATATTAAAATAGGTTCTCCGCGGTATACAGTCGACTACTCTTGTTCAAATATTACGCTACCTACCTACTCTGAGGTTCTAGTTGCATTTTGAAACATCGAAGTTCTTAAAATATAATATAATTAGTATGAAACGATAGTTTCTCATAGAGATGGATATACGTATGTAATTACTAAGGTAGGTAAACAAACTAAATTTATTACAAACTGTATACCTATTTAAACTTTTAAATTGAGAATACAACTAAAACTAATTACAAGTGTTAAGTTATAATTGATACAACTGCTTGTAATTTTTAATTGTTTTTTATGCTCACTAATAATTTTTTCATCAGAAAAAAAAAATAATAAGACATAATCATATTATAATCGCAATACTATACTATTGTAAAGCATCAAATTATAGTAGTTCAACAATAATTGTAATTTATTATGTATTCACATGTTAATTTTAATATTAAAGTAGAGTATACTAAATAAACATTTTTATCTGCTCTTCTACGATACATAATTACGGTGTAACGGGGGTGTAACATATGTTAGTTAAAGTGGTTAACATTATTACCATTCACTAATTGTAATTTTTTTCAAATTTATACAATCTATATGGCGGTAATTTTTTCTAAAATGGTCTTCGGAAAATAGCATCGTGCACGGTAAGTATACGTAATTGCTAATTATAGCGAA